CAAGAACTATCCTGAGGAGCATCTGAAACCGAGTGTCACCCTAATTAAATAGGTATGTCCAGTAGGAAAGGAAAACTCTTCATCTGACTTCCTTTAAAATAAATTTATTGAACTTATTTTGGGTTTAACATGCAAGTATTATTTGCACAGTGAGATAATAAAGACAACGTGAAATTTTATTATTTCACAAACAGAATGGTCACATAGGGAGACAGAACAATGGAAACTGGGAAGAATCTGGTAACAGTAACAGCAGCACCAGCAACCTGGAAAACCAGCAACCTGATTAATTTTTTTATTCCTTGTAAGGATTACCAATTATTAACAGACTAACTCAAGGAAAATGATAATGAAACCAACAAGTACAAAGGCATATGTAATGTTCTTCTAAAAGAGGAAAGCTCCGATCCTTAGTGTTGAAAATTAATATATAGTTCCATATATTATTTAGGGAACTGGCTGTCTCTGTGACTGGGGTGTTTAGGAAATGGACAAATCAAGCCAGTTTCAAGCTTCAGAAGAAGTACTGATTTTCATAAGCAGTTCACGTTGCTAGTAGCTCTTAATCACTATCAATCTTTATCACTACATATACAAAACAATTAGTCCTTAACAAATCTATCCCAGATGAGCTGCGAGCACACAACACAGGGGAACTGATGCTAGGTAGTTACCACTAACGGCTGCACTCCTTGGTCATCCTTAGTCACCAGGGCCAAGGTGATCAGGCTTGAGAGCTCCTTGCAGGCAGTTTGCCATCTTTCTTCTTTACTCAGCTGACCCGAAATAAAAGGAAGTGATCTCATCTGCTCCTGATGACTTACTTTGGGGATCAGGACATGTTCTGGGTTTTGCTTATTCTGCAGGTGCCAGCAGACACCTTTCTTGCCTGTTCTCCAGGATTATCTTGGTTCTACCAGGCACTTTCCCCCTTCTGCTTTGTTGTTTGGTTATTTGGTGACAGGTTTCCACTTGTTAGGTAGGCTTGATTTTGCCTATTTAGTGAGGCGTTAAGAAAATAGCTAACAAGAGTGAACTAGGAAACTGTAAGCTGTCCAGAATCACTTCAGCTGCTGTGAAAAATCAGAATGAGTCTTCCTGAAATGTGTTTATTGCCACATGAAGCAGAGGGTGATTGGGAACACTCTGTACAGGCATACAGGTCCTACAAGCCTGTAGTCACCGATTTAAGTAAAATGGCTGAAGCTGCCTCCTGGCACAGAGATAAAATCCACTTCTGAGCTACCTCAACTACCAGCCAACACTGAAATGCAATCTCAAACAAAACCAGTGTATTTAAATGAAAACAGCAGAGATCTGAAGGTTAATTGTAGGTGGCTAACGTCTGCCTCAGAGGTGGGGTGGATACCTGGTAAAGCATCTGCTATCTCACTTTAATCCACCAAGGCTGTCAGAGTCTTCAACATAATTAATTTTGGGTACCTCTGTCCTGTGAAATCCGCGGCCCTCAAACAGGTACCCGGGCTTCTCACACAGGGCTGAGAATGAAATTCACAGGGTCCACAAGCTAACTCAGGAGTCACCTGGTTGAGGCCAGAGGTTCGAAAAGCAGCCTCCCAGTGTGGTGCCTCCTTTGGCATTTGGTGCTTCACACATTCCCCTTCCCCAGGGGAGCAAAATGGGAAGGCCGGACCAACCCCATCACAAGTTCATTCTGCTGCCTGGGAGGCTGGAGCTGAGTTCTTTTCACTACTTTTTTTTTTTCTTTTCCTTCTTACTACACTGCCTGAATTACCACGGAACTGAAAATTAACATAAGGAAGGAGGTTGTCTTGGATTTCTTCTTTTGAATCTGTTTTACTTTGTAAAAATAACTATTGACAGCAGTGCAACTTAAAGCCGACATTCCTGCAGTCAGCGTGAGTGCTTTAATCGGTACTTTACCCCTCTGCAGCAGTGAACGTTTAACGACCAACACAGGTTAGCTCCTATGCGCTCCATGCCCTGAAGACGGAGGGCACTGGGACTGCCTTCTGCCCGCGCTGGCTGGTAAGCGCCGGCTATTTCAGCTCCACACCGTGCCTCGTGGGACTCGGAGGACCGCTTAACCCCCGGGTGACTGCGTTCCACGGTCACGGAGCCAAACGCCTCGACGGGAGGGATGAACCCGCACCGGCCACGCCGGACTACGGGGGCGGACGCGCCGTCGAGGCCACGCCCCCTCCCGGAAGACACGCCTCCACCCTCACCCCGCCCCTTTCCACGACGCACACCACGTCTACACG